AATTAAATTTAAAATAAAATTAATTTATATTTATTTTAATTTTTACGGGGGTGGGGATCCCCGCAGGGCCCCATGGGGCAGGGAAAATTCCCCGCGAAATTTCACGGGGAGTAAATGCTCCCCATCCCCGCCCCGCGGGAAGGAATATTCCTCCCCGCTCCGTCCCCGTGACGGGGATCCCCGCGAGGCCTCGCGGGGATCGGGGGAAATTGCCATCCTTAGCCTGGAATTGTCGAGGTCTCAAGGAGGACTTTGTGATTTCAGATTTAACAAAGCTTTCTTTCATGCACTACTGCGATGGAGATTTGTATCATCTTCCTCTCTGAAATAAAGCAATCCACTACTGCGATGCATCTGATTTGCATAGATCTAGGATTTGCACACGGTTTTGTTGTTGATTGGGTTGGTAAGGGGGGTGGATTGGCTTTGCTTTGGACAAATGTTTTCCAGCTACAACAATCCTTTGTTTCACAATCCCTTATAGCTATTGAAATTGTTGATCCGGGTGGTTGTCATTGGAGGTTGATTGGGTTTTCTAGTCGAAAGCGAAAGGAAAGGGATGTTGTTGGTGAAGCCGGTGGTGTTTTGCAAGGGGAGAATGCTATTCCAGTCACTAAAGGGGCTCTCGTTCCGTTAATGAATTTCAGCAACAAGGGATTGAAGAGGATTGGAATCGTTAGGGCCATGGTTCGGAGCCCATGGAGACAAGGGAGGTGCGTGGGCTTGTATGGAGGACCATGCCCCTCCTGTTGATTATTCCTTAAGAATAGATAGGGCGACAACTTGTGGGTTGGGAACTATTTCTTGCCAGAATCCTTTGCTCTCCCCATGAAGCTGGTTAAATAGGTGAGGAGGTCCAGTAGCTTTTGATGCTCGTAGTGACTCTCCTTTCTATATTAGTAGTTCTATTTAACCCATATAACGATCACAATCTTTAGTTGTAGATAACTCTCTTTACTTAATTATTTATATTCATCATGCGTATGGTTTAAATCTGTTACTAGTATTGTAGGTTATGTTTTTGGTTTCTGATTTCTGTCTTTAGGATATGCTGCTTTAGGCTATATTGCCATGAAATGAAGAATTATATTGTAATTTTTCATTATTTAATATATTTTTCTATTTCCTATAAAAAAAATATTCCCTCCATTTAATTGATTTACTTCATGTGACAAATGAAATTCATTTTAATCAAATTAAGCTACACAATAAAACCTAACGATGATTTTCATTGTTATCTAATTGTAATTTGTATGCTATTTAAAACATAACCTAAAATTGATTGCAAAGTTAGAAAAACTAATTCTGATTTATCAAAAAGGAAGAAACAAATTCTGAATTTTTTACCGAAAAAAAATTCTGAATTGAGATTTGAGAGAGTTGACTTTTTTCCCATAGGTGATCATTGATAAAGTACAGTAAGCAAATTAGCCAAACTAATACCGTATCCCTTGTTGATTGATGCGGCAAAAACTCACAGGTTGCCCTTCAACTTTTTGAGTATGTGAAATTTTACCCTTTATCTTACAATATGTGATTTTATACTCTTCTGATATTCTGATTTATGATTTTATACCCTCATGATATTTGAGTTTATGATGTTATACCCTCATAAAGTTGAAAGGTAAAATATAAAGTTCCATACACTCGAATATCAGAAGGGTATAAAATTATATCAAGAGGGTATAAAATCACATATTATAAGGTGAGAGGTAAAGTTCTACACACTAAAAAAATTCAAGGGCAATCTATTGGGTTTTGGCTGATTGATGCACTAAAAATCACTTCAATAAGTGTATTAGTTGCACTAAAAATATAATTGATAATAAAAGGGTTGAACTTACAAAGGTTGTGATTAACTAAATATAAAAAATAATTAATTTAGATTTAATTGAATAATTTTAATTAAAAAATAACAAAAAAATAACAATTAAAATAAAAATAATCAAAACATGAGGTATCAAGACGTTTGATTTTATCATAATCAATCAATATAAATTTTAGATTAATATGTTTGAACACCAATTCATTGAGTATCATATCATGTGATAGTGGATCCTCTAAACTAATTAACTAGTTTTCTTAAATCAAGTAAATCATTTATTTGTTTATTAAATTAGTTATATTTTTATATAATTTAAAATATACTAATGAGTATTAAATAATATGAAAACCTTTAACTTAAGAAGGAGGAGCTCCTAACTTTTTGATATTAATTGCCTTTAGATCTTATAGTTTAGCACATAATTTATAATATTATTCGTCTAATTTATACAATTCTTTTTCAATATCATACATAAATCACATAATCATCAAAAGGTGATCAAGTGTCTGAAACATTAAATTTAATAATAAAAATTTATCATGCGAATAATTTTAATTGAAAATATAAAAATTATGAAATTTATATTAAATTAATTAAATGACATTGTAACTCTAATTGGCTAAATTAATTCATAATAAAAATAATGAAACTTGAAATTATAGTTGTGAATATAAAAATGTCAAATAACAAATAAAAATAATCTAATAAAAAACAAAATATAATTTGAAAAATTTTAAATCTTTAATCTTTTATTATAAAAAATTTCTTATTACGTCTTCTATATTAATTTTCAAGATTGCTCAAGAGAAGCTGCTGCTTGCCTCCTCCTGTAAGCTTTCTCATTCTAATATGAAATTATTATTTATAAAAATGTAAAGGATAATGATGCATGCATACTCTCATACCACACTCTCCGTTACATCCTTCAATTTTTGTTATTTTGACGTTAATTACACTTAACTCCGTTACCACTTCTTCAGCCATCTCCCAACTCACCCAACCCTTTCCATGCTCATCAAATCCATCTTCTTCCTCACCTCCATCCTTATCATAATCATCTACAAGACAATTGCTAGCCTCTCCCAAGTTCCCACCTTCTTCCTTTTTTCTTTTTTTTTTT